CTCGATCTGGGGGCCGAGCCACTGCGGGGAGGTGCGCAGCGCGTAGCGGTCCTGCTTGGGCTTCTTGAGGGGGTCGGTCTCGTGGAGCTTGGCGGCGGCCTTCATGTAGGAGCTCCCGGCGAGGACGTGCTCCATGATGGCGGCGGCCTCGATCTGGCCGGGGTGGTGCTTGAGCTTGTGCGTCAGCGGATCCGTGAACTCGGGCTTGCCTTGCATCGCCTCGCAGAACATCGCGGACAGGATCTCGGCCAGGAGCGCCAGGACGTTGGCGTCGAAGCAGGCGATGGAGGCCACCGCCGCGCCGACTGCCGTGCCGTTGACGATGGCGAAGCCTTCCTTGGGCTGGAGCTCGAAGGGCTGCTCCACGCCGACGAGCTTGAGCGCCTCGGTGCTGTTGACGACCTTCCCGTCCGGCAAGACGGCGCGCGCGTTGGATCGGCCGCTGAGCAGCCCGGCAATGTAGCTGAGAGGGACGAGATCGCCGGAGGCAGTGATCGTCCCGCGGAGTGGGATCCGCGCCACGATGCCCGAGTTGACGAGCTTCTCCATGGCGGACAGGATCTCCCACCGGATGCCCGAGTAGCCCTGGAGGAGCGTGTTGGTGCGCACCAGCATCGCGGCGCGCGCGAAGGCCAGCGGGAGAACGTTGGTCGAATCGTCGTCGCTGAAGATCCCGGCGTTGAGGACGCGGATGAGCTCGCGCTGGAGCCCCACGCCCTGGTTGATCCGGCGGTGGGAGGTGGCGCCGAATCCAGTCGTGACGCCGAGGATGTCGGTCCCCTTCATCGCATTGTCGAGTACCCAGTTGGAGCTCTCGTCCACCCTCTTCTTGGCGGCGGCGGAATCCAAGCGTACCTGGGCGCCGCGCTTGGCCACCGCCGCCACCTGGGCGATGGTGAGCGTGGTGCCCTCGATCGGGAAGCTGGGCTTGGCGGCGCCGTAGACGGTGTGGGCCATCTCGTGGACCTCCTCGAGGTGGCTACCCGACATCGCCGCCGCGGCCTTCTTCCAGCTGAGGGGATCGGCGGTGTCGTAGCGCGGAGTGGAATTGGGAAGGCAGAGCGTGGGATCTGGCGACACCCGGACGAGCGGCGAGTAGGAGGAGGTTGTGTCGCTGCCGTTGGCCACCATTTTCGCTTCTTCCCTGTGAGCTTCTCCTCGATCGATCGATCGATTGAGGGAGGATTTGTCTAGCTCCTGCAGCAGGGGAGGAATGAGAAGCCCAAATTGAGAGCGCCGGTGCGTGGAATCGATTGCCCGGCCTTGCCCTGTTCTCCGATCGAATCGCCGCCTCTTTGCTCCGATCGAATCGAATGTTTGCGCTCTTCTTTGTGTGTTCTTCCTCTTCTTTTGTGCGTTGGAAAACGAGAGAAGAGAGAACACTGATCTATGCCAGCGTTTGAACTACCCTTTATACCCGCGCTGCCGCCCTCGGATGAGGGCCCATCCGACGGCTGCGCGGTCATGGCCATGGCCATGACTGGCATGACGTGGCAGAAAGATGCCCCGAGAATATTCTGGGCTGCGTCCTAACCCCTAGTTCGCTATAAGAAATTAAAACACATGGGCGGTAGAATCCTACCGTACGCACCTCGATTTCCGTACGAACTGTCACCAACCGCGGCGTCCAGGTGGTCGACCGGATTGTCAAGTTCGCGTGGCTGACGGGTGGATGGACTGGTGGGGGGCATGCGGGCTCATGGTGAATATCTATCTTTTTCTTTTCTTTCTTGTGTGTATGTGGGGTTGTGATGTGCTGCGTGGAGAGACTAGCCACCTCCCTTCTATGTTTCGATCAATCTGAAATGCCTTAAGAGTTATTTGCTTTGGTGGATTGATCCACAGTGTTTATGCAATATACCTATTATGGTTCTCTAGCATGCATTGTGTAGTTTTCTATCTTCCTTGATTTCCTAGTACCACACGCTTAACAATTAAAGGAACTATTTGACAGGTGATTTATAATGGTTTAAATATGAAAAGAAGAGGTGTATAAATAAAAGTGCATTTTATTTTTCAATCGATTAAAGGTTTTGAGATGAGTAATATTGGGCTAGATGAAGTTTAAATTTAAAATTTTACATTTGGTATCATAGGGATTTTAGGTTTGACTTTGGAAAAGTTTACAATTAATAGTTTACATCTGGTATCATAATGGTTTTAAGAATTATACCACATGTTGAGATTAAGATCTAGTAAGTTTAGCTTGCTTCTAGCTGGCTCAACCTAAGGGGTAGGGTGTCGCTAAACTTCCTTAAACTCTTAAGTATTGGTCCTAATTTTCAGATCCATATGAGAATCAGCTAACCTTACAAGAAGATATTAAATAGCAAAACAAAATGCTAGAAACACTAGAATTAAGATTAATGTGTTATGTGCATGCTAAGATTCAACACAACTCTTGATCCAATGGACAATCAAAAGAGGGTAACATGAACAATTTGGGATGTTCTACATTCTTCTCATTGTCTCGTTCGTCTTGCTATATCACCCATCTCATCACTTAGTCAAGGCCATAAATCAAGTGAAAGGTGGTGCAACAAAGAAATCCTTGTTGATCTAGTTGTCAAACCCTTATAAAAATCATACATAGATTTTAATAATGTAAATTCTTTTGTAAATACTTTCATTGAAACTATTAGTCTCTTGTAGCATTTGCTTGTTAGTGTCAAAGGATTTTAACATTAGAATCAAAACATTTTAACACTTGAGGTATGTTAATGGTGGAGTGCTCTGTGACAATATTGCATGTTATGGAACATAACAAGTGGCTTCAAGTTTTGTGATGAAGTCACTTAGGAGATGGATGGTGTAAGTGACTAATTTTTTTCATTATACTTTAGTCACTTAACCATACCTCTAACCACTTAGAGGAGTCTTATTCACAACCTCCATAAGTTTAATTTCAAACTTAGGGCTTGCTCACCCCGAGAAGGGCATCCATGCCCCTCAACCTTTGCACTTGGTCCAAGTGCTCCACGTGTCTAATCCCATGATTGACACTCCAAGGTACCACTAACATACCAGCCCGTTATGTTAGGCCATGCCCTTTCACCTTGGTCACATCGGTAGTTCAACACCACCTACATTGCAATCCCGTCTCTCCAAGACTGGGCCATCTGTCCATGAGTGGTCATCCCAGATCCACTCCTTAGCATCCTTAGGATGCCCGTAGACATGGGGAATAGCCTTCCCCAATATCTCCTTTCCAGTCCTCACCAAGTCCCTTTTTGTCTATGGCTGTGTTCACTAACACTGCCACTAGATCAAGGCTCGCAAGCTTGACCTCTAAATCCCTCAATCCTTTGGGACTTCCTCATCATGTGACCATATCCTTGGTCACTGCACTAGAGGACTACTCCTCTTCCCTTTCACCGTTTAGGACTTTGGGACAACATTTCGGAACACCGTGGCCTTACACAAGCCTCATGGGTACTCTCCCCACCTCTCGCCTTTTGGTGCTCTAGCCATGGGCTTAGAGCGAGGTTCCGTTGAGCCACACCAGGTATCTAAGTAGGTAGTGCCACCCACACTTGGACTGGGAGCATCGGCCAGTCGATCTCCCGGAGGAACTAGAGCCGGCTCTTGAACACTTCACCAAGCTACCCCGCTTGTCGGTCCGTATTCACTTTAGTCTTGGACTTCCCAGTGGGCAGCTCATCACCCGACACTAGGTCCGGCCTTCCTGGCCCAAACTGGCTCCACTGCAGTCCTCCCCCTACTATACTTTTGGAGCTCACCAAACCCCCTAGGGTCTGGGAGACGAACGCTTTGGGCTTTCACCCTCTCAGACTCGAACTCAGACTCGGACTCAGACTCGGACTCGGACTTGGACTCGGACTCGGACTCGAACTTAGACTCGGACTTGGACTCAAACTCGGACTCGGTCTCGGCCTCGGCCTCGGTCCCGATCTCGGTCTTGGTCTCGGTCTCGGTCTCGGTCTCGACCTCGGAGTCCATCTCAGGTCCTTCTCGGACTCCATCTCGGATTCCATCTCGGGTCCATCTCGGACTCCATCTCGGTCCATCTCGGACTCCATCTCGGACTCCATCTCGGGTCCGTCTCGGACTCAATCTTGGATCCATCTCGGGTCCATCTCGTGTGCATCTCGGACTCCACCTCGGACTCCATCTCGGACTTCGTCTCGGACTCCATCTTGGACTCCATCTTGGGTCCATCTCGGACTCCACCTCGGACTCCATCTTGGGTCCTTCTCGGGTCCACCTCGGACTCCATCTCGGGTCCTTCTTGGACTCCACTTCGAACTCCATTTCGGACTTCAACTCGGGTCCATCTTGGACACTTCCACATGTCATGTGTTGGTCCTTTTTGGGTCCCTTTTTGGAGCCTCGCTTATTGCTTGCTTTGTGCTCATTCTTCAAGCACTTTGTTGAGAGTTCCACTCCCGCTCTTAACCTTTCAAGTCGGAGCTTTTAGTCCAAACATGTTACACTCATTTGGCTTTCGCTTAAACCACTACCACATGACACCCTTCCAGCTCCACTTTAGGGCCTAGGGATTTTGTGTCTTACAGATGGCTCATGGGCAGCATTGGGCATTCTTGTTCATAGTTTCACTAATATCTTTAAGAGTGTGTTTTTTATGTTGTTTTAGTTTCTATAGGACATTGAGGAATGTACATACACATTCATCTTTCTAGTGGCATTTATTTTACACAACTCACTAGAAAGTGAAATCTTGGGTTGTGCTAATCATACCCCACACCATCTTTTATGAATCCACCCCAAAACAAAAATTTAGATGGTGACAATCAAGTGCAAGATACCTACCCTTCAAGGGCATCTTGTGGAATCTAACAACTTCCACAAACGATTTGCTGGGCTCAAGATTGTGACTTTGTGGTAAAAAGCATAGTAAATCTTCCACCAGCTTTTGAAAGGACATAATACTGGCACTGGGAATCTTGTCCCGTCAAATGTAGGTCTTTGATTCCATGCCAGATCAGAGCCTAGCATCCTGGAATTCCTTGCTGGCAAACATGGCATCTTGTTCCTCTTTCAATGACACAAAGAGGGTGTTTGATTCCATGAAGAGAAGGAATCTTTTCTCTTGGACGGTGATGCTAATGGGATATGCCCGAACTGGGGATCTGGAGGGCATGAACGCTTTGTTTGGTGCTATGCCCGAGAGGAATCTGATGTCGTGGACGGTCGCGATTAGTGGGTTTGGTTCCAACGGCAAGATCCAGCAAGCAAAGAGTCTGTTCGACTCGATGCTAGAGTGGAATCTTGTCGCCATGAATGCGATGCTCGCGGCATTTGTCCAGGAGGGCTATCTCCAAGAGGCCAAATCCTTTTTCGATTGGATGCCTGAGACGAATCTAATTTCCTCGACAACGTTGCTGCGAGCTTACACTCAGGAATCACAAATCCTCGAGGCAAAGCGCTTGTTTGATTCAATGCCGGAGAAGAATCTCGTCACCTGGACGACGATGGTAGCGGCATTTGGCCAGGATCCTCTTCTTCTGAGTGAAACGAGAGATCTCCTTGATCGGATGCCGGAGCACAACATTGTATCACGGACAGTGATGCTGATGTCATACGGTCGCGCTGGCCACGTCACTCAAGCACAAGGCATCTTTCATCAAATGCCTGGACGAGACCTGACAGCGTGGAATGCCATGCTGGTAGCATTTGCCCAAGATGGGCAAATCTTACACGTAATTAACTTGTTTGGGCAAATGCCTGTGCATGACGTAGGATCCATGTCAATCATGGTAGACACGCTGGCACGGTGTGGGAAGCTTGAGGAAGCAAAAGAAATATTTGATCATGTCCGCGGCTGGTGCATCTCCTCTTGGACGTCGATGATCTTTGCATATACCTCGTTCGGGTATTTTGAAGAAGCAGAGGCTTTATTTTATACAATGCCTGAAGTAGATACCACGCGTTTATCTTGTCTTTAGCACTCAATCGTAAACTTGCTAGTGCAGTTGGTGTTTTTCACAGGGCTAACCAGAGAGATGTAACAACCTGGAACACCGTTCTTTCTGCATTTGCCCGTGATGGAAATCTGCAAGAAGCTGAAAAAGTCTTCCAATCGATGCCGGAGCGCGATCTCGTGGGCTGGAATTCAGTGCTGGTGGCATATGCGGGGCAAGGCAAGCCAGCCCAAGCGATCGGATTCTTCTACGAGCTTCAGCAACAGTGGATTCCCAGCGCAATCAGCGTTGTTTGCTTCTTGGTTGCCTGTGGCCGGGTGGGGAACTGCGCACTGGGCATCTCTTGCTTCAGATCCATGACACGGGACTTCGGATTGGAGGCAACCAAGCAGCACTACAGCTGCGTGATCGATCTCCTGTGCCGGGCAGTCGTTTTGGCGAATGGCCAAGCCGTGATTGCTGAAATGCCCAGTGTTCCTGATCTTGTCGATTGGCATTGCGTGCTCGCGTTTTGTTCCAGTGACAAAAACGTTGAACAAGGAAGAGTGTGTGCCATGTCTGTTCTTGAGATGGAACCAGACAACGCTGCTGCTTACGTCTCGTTGTCACAAACATTGATCTAAAACTCCCGCCAAGATTTAAACTTTTGGCTGACGTGGCGCTCATTTATTGGTGGAAGGAACCCTAGAAAGGGATCACTGGAATTCGCGGCCGGATGTGCGCAAGATCCCAGGAGCAGCAAGGAGAAGGAGCAAGAACAGTCTCCTCCTTCCTCCATGGCCGTCAACAATGCGTTGCTGGAAAAGGTGTTGTCGTCATCTTCTTCGTCGGCTTCCGGTGGTGGTGGGAATGACAGCCGGGGAAAGCTCCGGGGGCATGATTCCTGTGGAGCCACCGTCACCTCCCATTCCACCAGACACCCACGTCACGCGCTCACACAAGAAATCGTCCAAGCACAACTCTGGACCGAGCAACTCGCTGGGTGGCACGAGTGGTTCCAATCTCGGGAGGAATTTGCCTTCTCCTCGTGAGATCTCCGAGGAGCTTGACAAGTTCGTCATCGGCCAGGACCGAGCCAAAAAGGTGTGATGGTGCTCGTGTTCTTGCTTTTATCTTACGTTTGGTTGTTCTTCTCTTCCAGGTGTTGTCTGTGGCAGTCTATAATCACTACAAACGGATTCACTTTGAGAGTTTAAGAAATGAAGCTGCCAAAGCCGCTTCTATGGGAGAGTACGCAATGTTTTTTCTATTCCTATACCAACAAGTGCTTGCATCGTTTTTCAGATCAGAGGAATTTGATGAGAGCGTAGCGTCAAATGCCAATGCGTCTGGAGACGATGAAGTTGAGCTTGAGAAGAGCAATGGGCTGTTGCTCGGTCCTACTGGCTCTGGTACCGATGCTTTACACAAGATTCCATGCAAGCTCACCTTGATTTTTTGCAGGGAAGACATTGTTAGCTAAGTGCTTGGCAAAGTTTGTGAATGTTCCCTTCATAATTGCAGATGCTACGACGCTCACACAGGCAAGATTCAATCAACAAATTTTCTAAGATGCAAGTAAGGAAATTTTGTTTGAGCTTGCTTCATTTATAAAGTATTGGCTCCTTAGGCAGGATATGTTGGAGAAGACGTGGAACCTATCCTTCATAAACTTCTTGTGGTATGTTTGGGGTACTGTTCCACCAAACCTGGTCGTAAGCTCTTTGTCTTTCACTAGGCGGCCGAGTTCAACGTAAATGCAGCTCAGCAAGGATTCGTCTACACTGACGAAGTCGACAAAATTACCAAAAAGGTATGATCAAAATCCATTTTTCTTTCTTTCTTTCGGCCTGACTTTTCTCCAGTGCAGTCAGAAAGCCTCAACATTGGAAGGGACGTGAGCGGTGAAGGTGTTCAACAAGCACTGCTCAAAATTTTGGAAGGAACTGTAAGGAGCTGAAATTCTATTCTCATTGCAAAGGCTTCTGGGGTAATCAACTCGTTCAGTGAGTGTGTACAGATTGTTAACGTCCCTGAGAAAGGAGCTAGAAAGCATCATCTTAGCGATCACACCCAGCTTTGCTGTGGGGTTCTATCTTTCAACTTTGATTTATTTAACCATGCCTACTTTCAGATTGATACGAAAGAAATCCTTTTTATATTGCGGGGGAGTTTTCGTGGATCTGAAGAAAACGATTGCAGAGAGGTTAGTGGTTGCAAAGATTTTAGTTATCGTTTTTATCTAAAGCAATATCCTAGGAGACAAGATTCGTCTATCGGTTTTGGGGCACCAGTTAAGAAACAACGGTGGTACAACGAGTGCGACGGTTGCTTCATCTTCGCTTGAAAAGGTTTGGTCCACTTTACGGCTTTAAAATTAAGAGATCTCTCTTTTCTCTTGAGTAGGTCGAGAGCAGTGATCTCATTTCATATGGATTGATACCAGAGTTTATTGGATGCTTTCCAGTGATTGTGAGCCTTTCTGCTTTGAACGAGGATCAAATGACTTATATTTTACAGCATAACCTTTGCAAGCGGGCAGGTTCTCATGACGCGTAAGAACGCATTACACCAAGCTCTTTGCAGTGAACGACGTAAGAGATGTCTCAAAACCAACTCAAGATTGATCATGGCTTATTCCAATTGGAATCAAGATGAGAGCTCTTTCACTTTGTTCGTTTATCAGCACTCATCATCTCATTCTTTTGATCGATCGCGCGATCAAAAAGGGAATTTTGGAATTCTGGAACTCAAATCTGGGAGTGAAATTGCGATCAATGCAGGCTGTTCTATGTGCGCTAAGTAGCGGCGAGAAAACCCACGAGCGCGATTTTGCTAAGCAAATCCCAGGATCACGTAAAAAGCACCAAGAACACCGGGCATTCAAATGGAGGGAGGAGGAATTCTCTTACCTGGACGATTCGGTGAGCTCGATGGTAGGACGTGCAAGCGGAGCAGAGTGGATTCTTGGCGAGGCAAACACAAGACCTGGCTCTCAGGGCGATCGAAGCGATTCGAATTCCAGCGATCAAAAGAGATGGATCGATCGATGGACGGGGAAAGAAGAGGAAGAAGGCAAACGTTTAATAACAAGATTGATAGAAATTAACATCACACAAGACACACCCACACAGCACACACATTACATTGCATCAAGGCGGCTTGGGGCCGCCGATGCCGTCCATTCGTTTCATCCGACGGCCGCCAACTCCTCGGAATTCCCTTCCTCAGAAACACCGTCGGATTCTAGCGGCCATCCAACGGCCCAATGGCCGTCCAATGCCGCATGCTTTTCCCTAACCTAAATATAGAGTAATTGGATTTCTTCACATAAAATATGGAAATGGAATACAAAAATATACATATAAATTAACCTAAAAACCTTAGTTTATATATAGGAATAGTTTAGATTAAAACCAATTTAATGGTTATTAAAATTGCACTATACAAATATTAGTATATATTATCGTAGTTGTACAATTGGATTTCACATCATCCTTTTTTCTCAAAATGATGAAAAACTGTCAATATTCTCTCATAAATGAGCCAAGATTTAAAAGAACATTAAAAGGAGGTATCAATGGATCTATAAGTGGTGTCAGTTATTCATAATCCCTTTGTATAAAATGTTTCAACTGTTGTATATACACAATTTATGAAAGATCTATTTGTTAGATGTCATGCCAAACCTCATAAACTTGCAGTCCCACTTGCCGCAACACCTGATATAGTCCTTTCTACTGAGCAAAAAGTCCCTTAAATAAACTATATACCATAAAATTGGGAAAATAGATTAACATCAAGTCATTTATTCTATATTTTGTAGATAGATAATGATGGGAGTTATATCATTATTCTTGTCCCACTTATACGTGATTTAAGTGTTCGGTAAACTCAAGTGGAAGAATGCTCATCAAATACTAATCCCACGATCTAATATCAGTAACTCATGGCAATTGCAAAGGTAAACCTAACTTTGTTAGTAATATTGGATCATAATCATATAGAAGTTTATATGGTGAAAACTTGCATCCTTATGATATACATATATTAAAGAGATGGCAAATAACTATTCTAATCTGAATGTTGAAAGTTCATATACTTCACAATCATTCTTTTGAAGGTTCGAACAAGCCGTTCTACCAAATTGTCTGACTATGGATGAGAAACACTCGTGAAAGTGTGGTGTATCCCAAATTGAGACATCAAAATATGAAATACCTTAGTTATAAATGCGGGACCATTATCTGAAAAAATTCACTCTGAATAGGATTGTTGGAACACCACTCTATTGAGGAGGAAGTATCCAACAACAATTGTAGATACGCTAGCAAAAGCACTGACTTCCACCCAGCAAGTTAAGTAATTAGAAGAAATAATAATATACTTATTGCCAATAATTGATCGTGGAAAAGGTCTTATCAAATTAAACGCCACCAATTCAAATGGATGGGAAACTGTAATTGACTCTAACTGTCCTTGTGCAGCATGAGGGGAAGTATTATGAGCTTGGCACCAAACACAGCTACACACATATTAAATAACATCACATCGCATCTCCAGCTAATAAAAAGACTTGCGCAACTTCACGGTCACACGATGATGTCCTATATGCCCACCTAGAATAGGGGAATTATGGCAGGTATAGAGAAAGCATGGAATAAAGATGGAAAACACCACAAGACATAAATGATCATTAAGATTCATCCCTAGAAAATAAAGAAAATTGTCTTTAAGGCAATATTGAGAATGTAAATGCCAAAATGGCAAGTTATCAACAAGTGATGTAGGATTCTCAAACCTATCGTGAAGTTTTTGAATCCACTGCCCAATTTTTTTAGCCTCATGAACCTTGTCAAGAAAAGGTAAATCATGCTCTGCACCTTATGGACACTGAACATCAAATACAACAATTGCTAATAGCACAAAATCCTTATCTTAAAAATCCACAGATGCTAGAACAATAGACTTCTCAGAAACATGAGAAAAGAGTGAAGAAGGAAAAAGAGCTCGAGAAAGAGCATCAACATCAGCTATATAACTCCCTAAGCAATGAACAACATCAAAATCATATATCAAAAGGTTTAAAACCCACCGAATAGTATGATTAACCAAGTTCTTCTGTTTTAATAATGAAGTAATTGTAGTATGATCACCTTGTAATAATGTCGAAGAACCATGTAGATATACATAAAGTTTCTCAAAACTTTAAACTATTGCTAAACACTTCTTCTTTGTCATAGAGTAGTTCACCTCCGCTAGTTGTAATATTCGGTTATAATAGAATAGCACTGACAAAGCACACTTGGGCTTTCTTGCATCAACACACTTCCAAGACTATCCATATGCAAAATGAAAGGCTGAGTGTAGTCAAGATATGCTAAAACTAAAGGAATCATCAATAACTTTTTGAAATCTATAAATGCTCAGTCACGGTCCATAGACCAAATGAAAGATGACATTGACAACTTCAACAATGCTCGCAATGGTGCAATGCAATCAAAAAGATAATCAATAAAACGACTAAAATATTGCACCTTGCTCAAGAAGCTGTAAACTTTTGAGTTTAAACTTCTCAAAAGGTCACTCAACCTAATACTATTTAAACCCAAGGACACTTAACCCAAGACTCTTGACATATTGGAAAAAGGGGTGCATTTTTATTCATGGACCTTTCCCCTTTTTATTTGAACCCTAGAAAAGGGGGTGCACTTTTATTCATGGACCTTTCCCCTTTTTATTTGAACCCTGGAAAAGGGGGTGCACTTTTATTCATGGACCTTTCCTCTTTTTATTTGAACCCTTATGGATCATCTCTTGAGTTATTCTGTTTAATTACTTATAGAAGCGTTACATATCATTCACACATTTTAGGGTAAGGAACTTTAGAATAGTTACAAGTTTGTCAGGATCAACTTGCAAACTCTTACGAGAAATATGGTACCGAAGATAAGTTATATCCTTAGATCCAAACATGCATTTCAACCACTACAGCTTTAAATCAACTTTCCGTAGCCAATCTAACACCTTACAAATACCATGGACATGTTCTTCCCATGAATATTCTCATCAGACTAGGTTGCAAGATGGGGTTTACACACCCAAGGACTCTGTGACTTTCGAATAACATTATTTTCCAACATTTCCTGATGTTTACACTTAAAATCTTAATCTCTTTGGGTGTTGTGAATGTGACTGCAAGTATTGAAAGTTACTTTTCAACTAATCCTTTCAGATATTCTTTCCTTACTATCACAACGGTAGAAAGTCAGTATTGCTATACCCTTTATTAGTCCCTTTTGTGCTAATGGAGTTAAGTAAGCATTTCGAGTGTACTTAGACTGGACAAGTATAAGGATGGAATTCTTACATGCTATTAATTAAGCATACTTAGCCTGGTAAGGAGTTCCCGTCTCATTGTGTTTTGCACTAGTTAGTGACAAGAATCCTTGTGTAATGAGACTAGTCCCTCAGTATTGTCAAATGATAGCTTACCATGCCTAGCGAACACCTTTGCTATCATGCCCTTTGTGTTAGTCTCATTTTGATCCCAAATGCTATTTATGGAAAGTATCTAAATTTACTAATTTGGCATATCTACAAAATATAGAGATTGTTCTGAACACAATGGTGTTCATCCTGTGTCCAGATTCTCAATCTAGCACCATTTTACATTTAATAAGTTTCAAATTAGTCCCAAAGACTAATTCTTTGTACTAAAGATGGCTAAGGGTGAAAGCCCAAAGTGTGTGTTCCTCTAGGGGGGGATAGCACAAGAAGGCATTGGACTTCAACCTAGGCATAGAAGGGAGGCTCTAGTGGAATCTAGCCACATAAGTGAGAGTATGTTACGGAGGAGGTATAATGATCATTATCTCTTCCAAGTGGTTAGTGCAAGTATGTGCGTAAGGTGTTGGTCCCTAGGAAAGCATAGCTGTTGGTCATGCACCTACACTTTAGGCGAGTCAGAATTGTCGATGTTTATGCACCCACTCAACGAAGGGAGCGTGCACAAATATGGGCAAAAATTTAGTAGAGCACTCAAAGAGTGGTGGATGAGTGGCTCATGGTAAGAGATTTCAACATGGTTGAGGATTTGAGTGATTGTCAAGGCTCATTGGGACCCATTCAAGGGCAAAAAAAGAAGAGCTGGATAGGACCAGTGGAAGCCTTGGGAATACTAGACCTCCAATATGTGGAGGGCTTCACTATTCATTCCCACCCATTCACAAGATGGCAATCAACAAGGAGCCAAGCATACCTAGACAGGATTTATGCCTCCACCAGGCTGTGACAAGATGGAGGGGGGCTCAAAAAATGGCTTACATTTGCCACCTTTTCAAACCACGACCCACTCTAGGGCATCCTTAAGCTACAGGCTAAGAAGGGAATGACAGTGCAACAGAGGATCACCAAAGTTACATTGGCTGACCAAGTAATGTTAGAGCTCATTCGAGAAGCACTAGACGAGTGTAAAGGGGAACTTGTTTTGGCCTTGAGTACTTGCTCCACTAAACTTCGGGAAAGGTAAACAACGCTTAAGGGAGAAGTCTTGAAGGAGGTGAGGTTAGTGAGGCAAAAGGTGGTGGTAGCCCAAATAATGGTATTGAATATGAACGACATGGACAAATGGATAGCAACATTGGACGAGAGGGAAGTTAAATTGTGAGATAAGGAATATATAGTATGGAGGACAGATGGGTGATGAATAAGAGACTCCTCAATAAATCTTTCTACAAGGGGATCCATCTAGTCACCGACACTCCCCTAATCCTAGGACAGCATGGCCACAGATCCTAGGGGGGCTTGGGATCATAGACCCCAACGACATGGCAAAAGCACTAAGATATAAAATCATTCTCATGGCTTGCAACTAGAGAGACAGCCATGGTAGCTAATGTTTCGATAAAGTTTCATAGCAATACTCCCCAAGCACAATGTGGCCAAACTTTGGCAGAAAGACCCTTGGTGGCTCTTTACAAATGGGCCAACTCAAGTAGTGAAAGGGGGCAACATCATCCAAAGTATACACAGACTATGGAGAGCTTTTCCACTTTAACAGATGTTGTTGAGTAGAGTCAAGGGGTGGCTCAACTAGCCCTTGTTCATGAATGTAGTGTTCCAAATGAGAGACGTCACACTAGGTCGGGAGACACACCACACAATCTAGAGAAAAATGCATTCAAATGGTTTTTGGACCATAAAGAAATTGGTTGGAGTGATCGACAAGGATTGGTGGTGAATAGAGAAGAAGACACAAGTGTTTGGACCGTGGAGGTGGCACAACATCCAACTAGACATTCTGCTACTCCTTCAAGTCATGAATAGCACTAAAGGAGGGACAAAGTGGCCAAGGAGATGCCTCAAAGCAAGAGACTTTGTAGCAATCCAACGACAAATGGAGTGGGACAAATAGGATGTAGTGCGTCATCCATTGGGGACATAGACACAAGCATTCATAGCACCTAAACTAGTGTGGGTAGAAGGGGATGTTGAGGTGTGGTTCATTGCTTCACTGGAGTACAATACAGGATGACTTTTTTATGTTACTAGAGGAGATACACTTTTCCTAATAGGTGAGACACAAATGATGCCAAAAGTCACTAATGATAAGGTATGTGGGAGGATCCAAGTTTTTAGGTAGATGCCCAAGAGGCTGGACATGGTGGAGTTAGAGGGCTTACTAGAGGGTGCTGGAACATTGCTATGGTGACACCAATAGATGATAGAAGATCTGGACTAGGACCCTACTGCATGGTGACGAGGGGTGAAAAGCTTCATCTCCTATGAGGTCAAGAAAGCATGTAAAGGATTACTGACATCTAGAGAGGAGGCATGGGAGGAGATTCTGAGGCTGTGTAGCTTTTACAAGTGAATTGTGTTGTTCACCATCTGCTCCACATGTGCAGGAGAAAGTGAAAGTCACCTCATGGTTGGCAGCCGATAACAGTCTCCCGGTCAAACTGTGCTTTCAAGATGATGCGAGTTGCAAGTGCAAGATCAAGATGGTCATGCATGCACTATGGGAGTGCGATATTGCAAAGGAGGTATGGCAACAAATCATCAAGGCAGTGAAGGAGTTGGGAGTTACACAAGAGTTTGGGGCTTGCAGTGGGGACGTTCTCCACTAATTTGAGGGAGCAAGAGGTCTTACGCAGGGCCTGGCCCTGTGACACATCAAGTGTAAAGGCCGACATGGCTAGGGGATCTAGGTCCACTAGGATGTGATTGGGATGGAGATAGGAGTTCTCATGTGGGAAGCTCTTGGCCATGCTCAATGGGTAGTATGGCTAGCAATGGGGGTCCAAGCCTTGTGGGAAGCACATAATTGGGCATGCTTTGATGGGATACAGGTCAAAGAATCAAAGTGATGGTAGAGTGGTGGAGACTTACACTAGCAATGGTACAGCTCCACTACACTATCCTCCAAGACAAGGGAAAGCCAAATCGGCTAGAGGAGTGGCAGAGAACATGGTTACCATATTTTGGTGATAGCGACCAGAAAGGAGTTTGATGGAGATGGCACCCCAGAATTAATCTTGCGGTCCGCACAAAGGGGGGACTTGGACTTGGATGTGGTATGATGGTGGCAACTGCAACTGCTTCTACTTTAGACTTAGTGTCACTTAGAATGAGGGAGAGCGCCACTAGGTAGTGTGAGTTTAAGGCGGCACACCCAATTTTTGTATTATTCCCTATGTGATATTGGGGAATGTACATACACGTTTCATCCTTCATGAGTTAGTCATGGAGAAGGGAAAAGAGGAAAAAGACGGAAACATAAAAGGAAGTAATGGGGAGACAAAAGTGATGGAAACACTAGTAAAACTAGAGGGATGAAAAGTTATTGAAGTGAAAGGAATGGAAACAATATAAAAAAGTATGAGACAAAAGAGAGAAGTTTCAAAGTCACACTCGGCATAATTATGCTGCAATAAATCTATATCAAGGATGAGGTCAAAAGGTTGACTTGGCACCACTTGCAATGATTGCAACTCAAGCTTGAGATCACCTATATGCATAATCAAGTCCGCCTCATCCCATGCACATACATGTGTACTGCCGTTGCTATAAAAAATTAAAACTAGCTTTGCCACATGATATAAATGTAGATAGCAACATATGGCAATAAGCCAAGCAATAAAAAATAAACTCGAGTTCGTATCAACCAATAAAAAAGAATAGCAGGAGATTTGTTATTATAAAAATATGTTTGGAAAGTAACACTAATTGAGCTAGTGCCGAATGACCCCTTGTGATACTCCCGAAAGAAAGATGGAGGGGTCACTGCTTATTCATGCAAGATCCCTCCACTAGTCGCATGAT